AACGCAGAAACGAAACCTCAACACTCAGGAGGGGGAAAACACACACAGACACAATTAATCGTCGACTCCCAGGACAATATGGGAAAATATGGGAAGTGGGGGGAAGACGAAAACCTTCCAAAAATGGGAAAATGAGAACATGGGTGATTCTTTCATTTATGTGTATTTATGTGTGTATGTGTGTACCAGGACCCCTTCAAACACATCGTTACAAAACAAAGACTTTGGGTGGCTTTTGGCCGGCGCTGGCACGGCGCGTGCGTGCGCTGGTTTTTGCGTTTTTTTTGTTTTTGGTTTGTGTTTTTTTGTTGATGCTGTTTTTGGTGCGTTTGCTTGTGCAGACGGCACGCTGCTGGTTGGGTCCGCTGGCAAGAGGTGGGCGAAGGGAGGGGCGAAGGGACGGGAGCGGGAGGAAGGGAGGGGAAAGGGAGAGAGGGAGGGAGGGAGGAAGGATGGAGGGGGAGAGGAAAGGGGTGGGATGGAGGGAGGGAGGGAGTGGGGAAGGGGGAGGGAAAGGAGAAAGGCCGAACGGGGAGCAGGTAGGAAGAGAAGGGAGGGAGAGAGGGAGGGAGGGAGGGAGGGGGGAAAGGAATGAGAGGAAGGAGAAGGAATGGAAAGTGGGATAGGAAGAGAAACGAGGGAGGGAGGGAAGGGGGGAAAAGGGGAGGAAGGAGAAGGGCGGAAGAGGATGGGGCATGAGAAAGAGAGGAGAGGGAGGAAGGATAATGGAGGGGGGAAGGTGGGGGGAGGGGAGAGGAGGGGCAGGGCGAGGGGAGAGGGGAGGGAGGGGAGGGGAGGGGGGAGGGACGCATAGATCACTCTTGTCCTCTCCCAAATGTGTGTGTGTGCAGGTAATCATATATACACACACACTCACACTTGGTCCATCACGTGCGCCATTGTTCTGCGCCAGGGGGGAAAGAGATGGGGCCGACTGCCAGGACATTCGCGCGCCAGGTACCCACGTGCCGTCGTGCGCCATTGCCGTCTTGTCCGCGTGGTGTTCCCGCGCCAGCAGCCTGCCCAAGCCACCGCGTAGGGTCGCCGTACCTCGTCCGTGAGATCCCTTCTCCTTCGTCGTTCGCGTGGCGCACTCCAGAAATGGCCGCGGTATCGGCGCATCCTCGTCTTCGGCGGAAGCCGGCGGAAGCAAAGCGGCGGCGGCGGCTCCGCCAGCGGAAGCTCGGCGAAAGCCGGCGGAAGCAAAGCGTCGGCGGGCCCGCTGGCGGGTCTGCCGGCGGCAGCTCGGCGGAAAGCGGCGGAAGTAAAAATGGCACGTCAGCATTTTTTGGTTCGTGGTTTGTTTCGTCGCTCGGTGTGGTTCGGGCTCCCCGGGACTAGTCGGCGCCCCACCGGGCAGACGTCCGTGGAGACGATCGTCCGCTTCCAGTTGGTGTGGGCCCACGTGGAGTCCGCTGTCCGCAGGCGCTGGCAGGGCTCCTGGCCGGAGGGGTGCCCAGGAGCCAACCTGAAGTCAGAGCTTCAGGCGATGCCGAGGAGGGTCACGAGTAGTGGTGGGGTCACCACCACCACCACCTTCCGAGGAGGAGGAGGAGGAGGAGGAGGAGGAGGAAGAGGAGGAGGAGGAGGAGGAGGAGGAGGATGAGGAGGAGGAGGAGGAGGCATGAGGATGAGGAGAGGGAGGGAGGGCGGGAGGGAGGAGGGAGGAGGGAGGAGGATGGGGGGGAGGAGGAGGAGGAGTCCCCTGGAATCCGATGTTGCGAAAGACCCCAGCATCGTTGAAAAATCACGGCTGGAGCCCTGGACCCCATCTTTCTGCCGGCAAGCTTTTTTTTTTTTTTTTTTTTTTTTTTTTTTTTTTTATTTTTTTTTTGTTTTTTTTTTTTTATTTTTTTTCTTTTTTTTTTGTTTTTTTATTTTTTTTTTTTTTTTTTTTTTATTTTTTTTTTTCTTTTTTTTTTTTATTTTTTTTTTTTTTTTTTTTTTTTTTTTTTTTTTTTTTTTTTATTTTTTTTGTTTTTTTTTCTTTGTCTTTTTTTTTTTTTTGTTATTTTTTTTTTTTTTTTTCTTTATTTTTTTTTTTTTTTTCGAGCCGGATCGATATGTGATGTGATGGTGATGGGGCCCGAAACTGGGCGAAAACGCCCGGTGTGAACAAATTGCAACGCCCAGATTTCGGGGCTTGTCGTGGCCCCTCGTTCTTTCGGCCTCTCGGTGAGTTGCACCGCCGGGGGGCTCCGTCTGGCCTCAAGATGTTCGTGTCCTCTCTTGTGCCCAGCGCGTGACTCGACGCGAACGTAGCTTGGATTCGACGCGGATTTGCCGTGGATTCGACGCGGATTCGACGAGGACGACATGGACTCGACACCGATTCGACGCGGATAAGGGCGCGACGGGACAGACAAGGCCTTTATCTTCATCGAAGCCGTGTCGAATCCAAGTCGGCCTCGTCGACTCCGCGTCGAATCCACGGCGAATTTGCGCAAAATCCGCGTCGAGTCCTGCGCCAGGCACAAGGATGGACACCAGTTCGGGAGGACAGACGAGGTTCCCCCGAAGATGGCAACGTACCGAGAGGCGGGTGCCGAAAAAACAAAACGGCGCAAACTTAGACTTTCGACGATCCGCGCGGACCTCCGAGAGCTTATGCTCATGCTTCACGGGCAACGATAGAGGGGATAGGCATACGGGGGATGCATCGACCCCCATTCGCACATTGATCGCCGGCGGTGGCCCGATAGCCCCAACCTGCCCAGGAGGGTGCGGACTCACTATCGTGGGCCTATCGCCGATCTATCGGCGATGCACCTCAGCTTCCAGGTTGACGTTTCCCCCCCCCTCTGCGCCTATCCCCCTCCCCAGGGCTGGACCTAAACGGTGTCTTGGCGATCTCGTGGGCCGTCTTCGCTTCGACTCCGCTTTGCGGTATTGGAGGTGGATTGAAGACAAAACGAAACCAAAACGAGAACGGCAAACACCGTTTACAGTGAGCGGCTTGAATAAGGAGCACTTGCTTTGCAGAAGGGGCTCGGTCGTTCCTCTTAGGCTTGCATGCGTTGTTTACGGTTCCTTGCGCGTCATCTGTGATGTATCGCTCCCTATGCGCTGTTCCTTGAGATAAAAAAACGCTTCGTTCCTTACACCTTAGGCGATGCTTAAGAAAACCTATTTTTCCCGGAAAGGGCATGAGCCCAGGGTTCTCTTTTAGTAGGTAAACCTGTCCCCCGGTGCCAACTTGAAGGAGGCCGGCGAATTTTTTCCCTGATAAATAACGAGGTCGAAGGAGGCCGGCGAATTAAAATTTGAGGACCAGGATGCCGAAGCGAAACCGGCCGTTTGTAGCGGGGTGTCTCGTGGAATGTTTCGTGAGGTGTCTCGCGGAATGTTTCGTGAGGTGTCTCGTGGGATGTTTCGTGAGGTGTCTCGTGGATGTTTCGTGAGGTGTTGCCCCGTTGGGTATCGTGAAAACGTGCCCATGCTCCACATGTCTATATCCCTTTCCGGGTTCGTGGGTCCATCATGTTTTGAAATCCCGATTGATAAATCACAGGGTGCGGGGCACTTTTTCGTGCGTTGAGGATGTCTCGAGCGAAACGCTTGCTCCGCAGAGTTTGCCGAGGATGTCTCGAGCGAAACGCTTGTTTTGCAGAGCCGACCGCGACGCGGAAAAGCGCCCCGCGCGAAGGAATTTCGATGAGTTCTCGACTAATTCCTTTGTTTTTGTACGATTTCCTGGAATTTTGGCAGGATGTCTCGAGCGAAATGCACGACCCCACCCTAGCACGACCATACCCCAGCACGACCACACCCCAGCCCGACCAGACCCCAGCACGACCCCACCCCAGCACGACCCCACCCCAGCACGACCATACCCCAGCACGACCACACCCCAGCACGACCCGACCCCAGCACGACCCTACCCCAGCAAGACCACACCCCAGCACGACCACACCCCAGCACGACCTCACCACAGCACGACCACACCCCAGCACGACCACGCCCCAGCACGACCACGCTCCAGCACGACCACGCCCCAGCACGACCACCCCCCAGCACGACCACCCCCCCAGCACGACCACTCACACGCACGACCACACCCCAGCCGACCACACCACAGCAAACGACCACACCCAGCAGAACCACCACCCCAGACGACCCACACCCCCAGCACGACCCGATCGATTAAATCACAGGGTTGGGAGCACACCAGCACGAAAACCCACCCAGAACGACACCACCACAAGCACGACCACCCAGCCGACCACGCCCAGCATGACCACACCCAGCACGACCCACCCCAGCACGACCACTCCCCAGCACGACCCCCCCCCAGCACGACCCCACCCTAGCACGACCACACCCCAGCACGACCACACCCCAGCACGACCCCACCCCAGCACGATCACACCCCAGCACGACTCCACCCCAGCAAGACCACACCCCAGCACGACCGCACCCCAGCACGACCTTACCACAGCACGACCACACCCCAGCACGACCACGCCCCAGCACGACCACGCCCCAGCACGACCACGCCCCAGCACGACCACGCCCCAGCACGACCACGCCCCAGCACGACCACCCCCCAGCACGACCACCCCCCCAGCACGACCACCCCCCAGCACGACCACCCCCCAGCACGACCACACCCCAGCACGACCACTCCCCAGCACGACCACACCGCCTTGGTTGAGTGGTTGCCTGTCGTCGTGGAATGTTTCGTGGGGTGTCTCGTGGAATGTTTCGCGGGGTGTCTCGTGAAATGTTTCGTGAGGTGTCTCGTGGAATGTTTCGTGAGGTGTCTCGTGGGCTGTTTCGTGAGGTGTCTCGTGGGATGTTTCGTGAGGTGTTGCCCAGTTGGGTATCATGAAAACGTGTCCATGCTCCACATGTCTATATCCCTTTCCGGGTTCGTGGGTCCATCATGTTTTGGCCAGAGTCTCGATTATTCTTAACTTTTCAATGTAAATCCTAAGATTTGAGTGGAAATTTTGGGTTTTTACTCAATTTCTGAGACTATGAATTTCTTAACCCATGATTTCTTAAGCATTTCGCAGGGTGTATTCATCGTTCCTTAGGTCAGGCCGACGACTGTAGGCTCAGCCCTCCTCCTCCCTGTCGCTCGCTGCCCCTCGAGGCCGCCTGCTGCCCCCGCGGGGGGCAGGTACTTCCACCTCTCGGAGCGGCGGCTGCAGCAGCACGGGGCCTCGACGGTCCGCGCGCTGGCGGAGTTCGCGGGCCGGGCCTCGCCCAGCGAGGAGCTCATCGCCAGGAGCTCTCTCCCCAGACCCCCTCGAGTTATGAAAAAATCACGACGGGAGGTTTTTCATTATTTTTCCCGGAAAGGGCAAGAGCCCAGGGTTCTCTTTGTACTAGGTAAACTAGTCCCCCGGTGCCTGCTTGAAGGAGGCCGGCGAATTTTTTCCCTGATAAATAACGAGCCGGCGAATTGCCGGCGAATTTTTTCCCTGATAAATAACGAGCCGGCGAATAGCCGGCGAATTTTTTCCATGATAAATAACGAGCCGGCGAATTAAAATTTGAGGATGTCTCGAGCGAAACGCTTGTTTTTGAGGCCGGCGAATTAAAATTTGAGGATGTCTCGAGCGAAACGCTTGTTTTTGAAATCCCGACTTCACCACACCCCAGCACGACACACACCCCAGCACACGACTCTCACCACAGCACGAACACACCCCAGCACGACCACGCCCCAGCACGACCACGCCC